GGCCCCCTCCCCTTCCTTCCAGCTGGACCCCCAAGAGAGGGGTGTCATCCGAGGCAGGTCCTCCACGGAGCCCCCTTCAGGCTCCTCCCCGGACCCCACTGGGCCTCAGTCCCCACTATGGAAATGCAGCCACCTCGGGTACCCCAGGCCGCCCAGACCCAGCCACCCTGCGGTGCCCAAGCACACACCGTGGAGCAGAGCAGGGTGCGTCTGGGAGGCTCTGGGCTCCCCACCCCCATCCCCACCTACACACCCCACCCACCCCTGTCCAGCGGCTCTGCAGGGGGGACAAGCCCCCATGGGGTATGGACTTAGGGTCTCACTCACGTGCCTCCCCTCCTCGGAAAAGGGGTCTCATCCCGAGATCCCCACAGCAGCCCTGGTCACAGGTGGAGGCAGTGGTTCAGGGCCACCCTGACCTGGCCCCTAAGGTTCCTCCAGCCCAGGCTGCCCTGCTGTCCCTGGGAGGCCTGGGCTCCACCAGACCACAGGTCCAGGGCACCACCCGCAGGAGCCACCAACACAGCTCACAGGAAGAAGAGAAGCCCCAGACCCCCAGGGCCAGGACCTGCCTTGCTACCACTGCTTCCTGCCCCAGACCTCGGCGCCCTCCCCCTTCCACTTACACACAGGCCAGGAAGCTGTTCCCACAAAGTTCAACCCCAAACCGGGACCATCTGGCACTCAGGTCACTGCCGTTTCCTTCTCCGTTTACTCCCAGTGCCTCTGTGCTCCCTCCCTCCTCCCTCCTTCGGGGGAGCACCCTGTGCAGCCCCTCCCTGCAGCCCACACCCTGGGGAGACCCGACCCTGCCTTCGGCCCTTTCTTCCCCGCTGTTCTTGCTGCCCACACAGACAACCCTGGGGTCCCTTCCCTGCAGTCCCCACCCTGGTCTCCACCCAGACCCCTGTCCCTCCCTCCAGACACCCCTACCAGGCCAACCCTGCACCTGCAGACCCTCCCCTCTTCTGCCGCGACAGCCTCAGTTTCTCCCGCCTGTGCCCACCCCCTGCCTCCTCCTGCCCACAACTCAAGTTCTTTGTCTCCTGGGGCCCCTGAGCCATGACACTGATCCTGCACTCCCACCCACACACTGCCCATGCCCTCACCTTCCTCCGGCCACTCCAGCCCCGCTCCCCTCTCAGCCCGGCTGTTGTATTTCCAGGACAAAGGCTCACCCAAGTCTTTGCCATGCAGGCCTGGGCCCTTGCCCTCACTGCCCGGTTACAGGGCAGCCTCCTGTGCACAGAAGCAGGGAGCTCAGCCCTTCCACAGGCAGAAGGCACTGAAACAAATCGGCCTCCAGCGCCTTGACACACGTCCGCCTGTGTCTGTCACCGTCCGCACCTACAGGGAGGCTCAGCTCTCCCTTTAAAGACGAGGGATTCAGGCAGCCACATCATGGGAGAATGCACGGCTCCCAGACATCGTGGCCCTCTCACAGGCCTCTCCTGGGAAGAGACCTGCAGCCTTCCCGTCAACGGAGTCTAACACCAAACATCCCTGGAGGTGGATGATACTAACGGAGTCACTGCCAGACCCGGAGGCCAATGGATGGTAACGGAGTCACTGCCAGACCCGGAGGCAGGGGAGCAGTGAGCTGGAGCCCAGACTATACAGCCACAGACCAGCCGCTGACATCCCGAGCCCCTCACTGGTGGCCCCACAACACCCGTGTAAACAGGACAGACCCACAGTCCCAGCTGGACCAGGGCGGAGACTGCTGAGCCCCCAGCACCAGTACCAAGAAACAGCAGGTAACGGCATCAGCGGGGGCTCCTGCAGAACAGAGGAAGGGAGGTCTCCTCCACCAGCAAGCGCTTGCCTTGACCAAAATCAGGGTCCATGAAACTCCCCCAGGACAAAGGAGGAGCCCCCTGTACAGCGCTGGGCTCAGAGTCCTCTCCAAGACACACGAGTTTCAGACAAAAACCCCCTGGAATGCACAGTCTCAGCAGGAGAGCCGGGCCAGAGCCAGCAAGACGGGACTCGGTGACACCCGCAGAAACAGGAGGATTTTGTGGGGGCTCGTGTCACTGTGAGAATATTGTAGTAGTACTTACTGCTCCTCCCACAGTGACACAGCCCCAGTCCCAAAGCCCTACTGCAAACGTACCCACTTCTGGGGATGAGAGGCTGGGGCAGCAACTGGGAAGTAGGACCTGGGGTGTCCACAAATGTCCAAAACATACCGCACTCCCCCTGAGGCATCATCCAGCGAGCAGAGTAAACGGAAAATGAGACGAAAGCTGGGGAAGTGGGGAAGATGGCACAGGCCCCAGGGAAAGAGCTTTGGCAGGAGTGCAAGAGGGGATGCTGGCAGAGCCTGAGCAGGGCCTTTTGCTGTTTCTGCTTTCCTGTGCAGAGAGTTCCATAAACTGGTGTTTGGGATCAATAGCTGGGAGTGAGCCCAGGAGGACAGTCTGTGGGAAGGGCAGGGGGAAGGAGGAGCAGCCGCTATCCTACGCTGTCATCTTTCGAAAGTTTGCCCTGTGCCCACACTGCTGCATCACGGGATGCTTAACAGCTGATGTAGACACAGCTAAAGAGAGAATCAGCAAGATGGATTTGCAGCACAGATCTGAATAAATTCTCCTCAATGTGGAGCAGCACAGAAGCAAGCACACAGAAAGTGCCTGATGCCAGGGCAAAGTTCAGTGGGCACCTTCAGGCATTGCTGCTGGGCACAGACACTCTGAAAAGCACTGGCAGGAACTCCCCGTGACAAAGCAGAACCCTGCAGGCAATGCCAGCCCCAGAGCCCTCCCTGAGAGCCTCATGGGCAAAGATGTGCAGAACAGGTGCTTCTCCTAGCCCCAAACTGAGGGTGAAGCAAATGTCCATCTGAAGGAGAACAGGCAAATAAACAGTGGCAGGTTCATGCAATGCAAACCCAGACAGCCACGAGGACAACAGTACAGGGTTATGAGCGATTCTGCGGTTAAGTTCATGACAATGCTGAATAATTGGAGTAACAATGGAAACTCCAATAAAAATTTTCAATGTGATTTCTTCTAAATAAAATGTACAGCCAGCAAAATGAACTGTCTTCCTGAGGGATACATTTCCCAGTTAGAAAACCATAAAGAAAACCAAGAAAATGATAATCACATAATCAAAGTAGTGGTTACTTCTACTGGGAAAGGAAGAGGGTATGAACTGAGACGCACAGGGTTGGCAAGTCTCCTAACAAGAACAGAACAAATACATGACAGTACCTTGAAAACAGCAGTTAAACTTCTAAATCGCAAGAAGAGGAAAATGCACACAGCTGTGTTTAGAAAATTCTCACTCCAGCACTGTTCATAATAGCAAAGACATTAACCCAGGTTGGAGAAGTAAACGATGACGCAGGCAATTGTACAACGATACAGACATATATTTAGTATATGAGACATCAATGATGTATCCCCCAAAGAAATGACTTTAAAGAGAAAAGGTCTGATGTGTGGTAGCACTCTCCTCTCTGGGCATCTCTGGACAGGCTGCAGGTTCACTGCACGGCAGGGCAGCCCGTTACCTGCTGGCAGCTCCTATGGCCTGACGTGGAGTAAGCACAGAGCCCCGAGGACATATACCCCTGAGGACGGCACAGTCAGTGAATTCCAGAGAGAAGCAACTCAGCCACACACCCTGGCCAGAGCCCAAGAGGGATGCCCATGCACAGGGAGGCAGAGCCCAGCTCCTCTACAGCCAGAACCACCTGGGCAGTGGCCGCCATCTGGCAGGCACAGCGCGGGGGCTGGGAGGAGGGGCAGGGACACCAGGCAGGGTCAGCACCCAGAGAAAACTGCAGAAACCTCACACATCCACCTCAGCCCCACCTGGCCTGGGCCTCACCTGACCTGAGCTTCACCTGACCCGGGCTTCACCTGGCCTGGACCTGGTCTGTCCCGAGCTTCACCCGACCTGGGCCTCAACTCACCTGGACCTCTCCTGACCTGGGTTTAACCTGTCCTGGAACTCAACTGGCATGGGCCTCACCGGACTGGAACTCACCTGGCCTCGGGCCTCACCTGCACATGCTCCAGGTCTTGCTGGAACCTGAGTAGCACTGAGGCTGCAGAAACTCGTCCAGGGTTGGGGAATGACTCTGGAACTCTCCCACATCTCACCTTTCTGCGTGGAGGCACCTGGTGGCCCTGGGAATATAAAAAGCCCCAGAATGATGCCTGCGTGATTTGTGGGCAATTTATGAACCCAAAAGGACAAGGCCATGGGGTGGGTAGGGACAGTAGGAACAGATGCCAGCCTGAAATGGAGCCTCAGGACACAGGTGGGCACGGACACTGTCCACCACAGCGAGGGGCAGACCTGGGTGTCCCCGCAGCAGACCTGAGAACGCTGGGCCCACAGCCTCCCCTCAGGGCTCCGCTGCCTCCTCAGGTCAGCCCTCAACATCCCGGGTTTCCCTAGGCCTGGGTAGGTTTGAAGTGAGGTCTGTGTCACTGTGGTATTACTATAGTGGTAGTTATTACTACCACAGTGTCACAGAGTCCATCAAAAACCCATCCCTGGGAGCCTCCCGCCACAGCCCTCCCCGCGGAGGTCTGCCGCGTGCCATGTTAAGATTTTGATCAAGGACACAGCACCATGGGTGTGGTGGCCACCACAGCAGTGTAGCCTGTGACCCAAACGCACAGGGAAGCAGACACAATGGACAGGCCCACGAGTGACCACGCTGAGCTCCAGTCCGCCAGCCCCAGAGACCATGAAACAGATGGTCAAGGTCACCCCACAGGTCAGCCAGACCTTGCTCCAAGGGGTCCACACAGCTGCTGTCCTCCAACCCCAGTCCAGATGGGGACAGGGCCGGCCCCACAGCACCATCTGCTGCTGTCCAGCCATCGGTCCCAGAAGCCCCTCCCTCAAGGCTGGGCCACATGTGTGGACCCTGAGAGGCCCCCATGTCTGAGTACGGGCACCAGGATTGGGGGGGATGGTCCTGTGCACTGTTCCTGCCCCGGTGGTCCCTGGCCTGCCTGGCCCTGATGCCTGAGCCTCTCCTGGGTCATTTCCAAGACACAAGAAATTCCTCAGGACAGCTGGAGCTGGGCATCACTCATCCTGCCCGGCTGTCCTGAGTCCTGCTCGTTTCCTGACCTCACCGGGGAAGCCAACAGAGGACTCACCTCCCACAGTCAGAGACAAAGAACCTTCCAGAAATCTCTGTGTCACTCCCCAGTGGCCTCTTCTAGGACAGTCCTTGGTGGCATCACAGCGGGAACCCACATCTGGATCGGGACGGCCCCCAGAACACAAGATGGCCCATGGGGACAGCCCCACAGCCCAGCCCTTCCCAGACCCCTAAAAGGCGTCCCACCCCCTGCACCTGCCCCAGGGCTCAAACTCCAGGAGGCTGACTCCTGCACACCCTCTAGCCGGATGTCACCTCAGCCCCTCCTGGAGGGGACAGTGAGTCAGATCCACCTGCCCTGAATGGCAGGCAGGGAAGATTCAGAAAGGCCTGAGATCCCCAGGACACAGCACCACTGTCAGTGGGGACCCCAGATGCCTGGACCAGGGCCTGCGTGGGAAAGGCCTCTGGCCACACTCAACGGCTTTTTTGAAGGGCCCTCTGTGTGACTGTTACTGTGTGACTATGGTAACTACCACAGTGATGAACCCAGCGGCAGAAACTGGCCAGACACCCAGGGCCATGCAAACTCCTCAGCTCTGAGCTCTCCAGGACCAGAAGAGCCCGGCCCGAGCGTTTGTGCCCAGACCATCTCAGCCCATGGACTGGTGTCCCACACACTGTCTGCCTCCAAACAGGGGCTTCAGAGGGCTCTGAGGTGACCTCGCTGATGACCACAGGTGCCTGGCCCCTTCCCCAACAGCTGCACCAGACCCTGTCCTGATAGCTGCCCCAGTTCCATCAGCCAATTCCTGGGGCCCAGAATCACTGTAGACACCAGCCTTGTTCCAGCACCTTCTGCCAATTGCCTGGATTCCCATCCTGGCTGGAATCAACAGGGCAGCTTCCCCCAGGATCCCAACAGGCAGGACTCCCACACACCCTCCTCTGAGAGGCCACTCTGTTCCATAGGGCCAGGCCCTGAACAGTCCCCCTCACCTGCCACTATAGAAATGCCTGCCGTTGACATCCCCACCTGTCAAAGACCACTTATGGAGCCCCCAGCCCATGATACATTTGTAGAGAGTCCCTGAGGGATCTAAGAAGGAGCCATGCCCAGTTCTGCCTGGACCCTCGGCCAGGCTGACAGGAGTGGACGCTGGAGCTGGGCCGGCACTGGGCCGCATAGTAGCTCACTGGTGAGGAGGACAGGAGAGCACAGGCCCGTCCCAGAGCCCAGGTGGCTGCAGATGCCTCTCCAGGGGGACACTGTGCATGTCTGGTCCCTGAGCAGTCCCCCACGTCCCCAGTCCTTGGGGCCCCTGGCACACCTGTCTGTATGCTCTCTGCTCCCTGGGAAGCTCCTCCTTGAAGGGGTGGCTGCCCCTCCACACCTGTGGGCGTTTCTCGTTAGGTGGAGCGAGAGACTTGAGAAAAGAAATGAGACACAGAGACAAAGTATAGAGAAAGAAAAAGTGGGCCCAGGGGACCGGCGCTCAGCATACAGAGGACCCATGCCTGCACCGGTCTCTGAGTTCCCTCATTATTTATTAATTATTATCTTTACCACCTTAGAAAAGGGGAAGTGGCAGGATAATAGGATCATCGTAGGGAGAAGGTCAGCAGTAAGACATGTGAATACAGATCTCTGTGACATGAATAAGTTTAAGGAAAAGTGCTGTGCCTTGATATGCATATATAAACATCTCCATAAACCTTTCTAGTGCATAAAGAGCAGCATTGCCGCTAGCACATCCCACCTTCAGCCCTAAGTCGGTTTTCTCCTTTCTCAGTAAACAGAACATACAATCGGGTTTTACACCAAGATGTTCCATTGCCCAGGGACGGGCAGGAGACAGATGCCTTTCTCTATCTCAACTGTCAAGAGGCCTTCTTTCCTCTTATATTAATCCTCCTCAGCACAGACCCTTCACGGGTGTCAGGCTGGGGGACGACCAGGTCTTTCCCTCCCCACAAGGCCATATTTCAGACTATCGCATGGGGAGAAACCTTGGACAATACCTAGCTTTCCTAGGCAGAGGTCCCTGCGACCTTCCGCAGTGTACGTGTCCCTGGGTACTTGAGATTAAGAGAATGGTGATGACTTTTCACAAGCATACTGCCTTCAGGCACTTGTTTAACAAAGCACACCCTGCACAGCCCCAAATCCATTAAACCTTGAGTCACCATAGCACATGTCTCTTGCAAAGACAGGGTTGGGGATAGGGTCACAGATTAACAGCATCTCAAATACAGAACAAAATGGAGTCTCTTATGTCTACTTCTTTCTGTATAGACACAGTAACAGTCTGATCTCTCTTTTCCCCACACCTGACAGTCCCGCCTCCAGTTCCAGCTGCGGTTATTGTCAGGTGATGTCAGGTTGTGGTGGATACAGCTACAGTTACCACAGTTTTGCCACCCACAGCAGAAAACAGGCCAACCAGATTGGCCCCTAACTTGCAGCCTCAGGCCTCCAGCTCACCTGCTTCTCCTGGGGCTCTCAAGGCTGCTGTTGTCTGCACTCTGCCCTCTGTGGAGAGGTTCCCTCAGTGGGAGGTCTGTTCTCAGCATCCCAGGGCTTCATTCCCGCACGGAAGGCCAAAGGCTGGGCCTGCCAGGAGCACAGCACCCTCACATGCCACGGCCAAGACAGGGTGGGCAGCCTGGCTGGGGACAGGATATACTCCTGGGGTATCTGTCACTGTGCCTAGTGGGGCACTGGCTCCCAAACAATGCAGTCCTTGCCAAAATCCACACTGCCTCCCTTGCTAGGGGCTGGCCTGGTCTGCTGTCCTTGGAGGCTGCTGACCTCCAGGATGGCTCCTGTCCCCAGTTCTAGGGCCAGAGCAGATCCCAGGCAGGCTGCAGGCTGGGAGGCCACCCCCTCCTTGCCAGGGCTCACTGCAGGTGATGAGGGCAGGAAATGGCATAAACACAGGGATGACTGTGCCATCCCCCAACAGAGTCCACCCACTCCTGCCCTGCACCGCGCAGCCCCCAGGCCAGTCCACGACAACCAGGTCCCCACATCAGAGTCACTGCCTGGCCTTAACCTGGGGAGGACCCCTCAGTCCCTACTCTGCCTAAAGGACTGAGAGGCACAGGCCCTATCCCTTACGGTTCCCCCACCTGTCTCCGGCCGGGATCCTCAGGGGGTGGACAGAAAGGACACCCGCCTGGTTGGCCCCCAGGAACCCAGAACTTCTCTCCAGGGAACCCAGCCTGGGCACCCCCTTCTGCAGGACCCAGCCCTGCCCCTCCTCCCTTCTGTCCACCTCTCATCACCCCATGGGAATCCGGAATCCCCAGGAAGCCATCAGGAAGGGCTGAGTGAGGAAGCGGGACCGCTGCATCACCGGGCGGGAGGCTCCGTCTTCGTGAATCCAGGGAAGTGCCAGCCTCCTAAAGGGTCCACTCTGCCGAGGGCTCCCACAGTGGCCGGCTGCGGGGAAAGACCAGCAACGGTGTGGGGGAGGGCTCAGGGCCCCGCGGTGCTCCATCTTGGATAAGACCAGCCCACCTCCTCTCCACCTGGACACCACCCTGGCCACAGGTCATCCACACCATCCTAAGTCCCACCTACACCAGAGCTGGCAGTGCCAGTGCAGACAGACGCTGGGGTGCAGGGGGACCTCCAGGGCAGCTTGGTGCAGGGAGGGAGAGGAGGTCAGTGAAGAGACCCCCTCACCTGGGTCCAGGATCTTCCTCTGGGACCCCCAGATCCTACCCGCTCGCCCGCTCCAGGCTCTGGGAGGACAAGCAGGATGGGAAATTCTGTGCGGGACCCTCTCACAGTGGAATACCCCCACAGTGGCCCAGGACAGACCCAAAAGCCCCTCAGTGAGCCCTCCACTGCAGTGCCAGGCCTGGGGGCAGCTCCTCCCACAAAGGACAGACCCAGCACCCCGAGGTCCTGCCAGAGGGAGCTCAGAGCCGTGGAGGAACAGGATATGGGGCCCCTGATACAGGCACAGACCTCAGCTCCATCCAGGACCGCCAGGTCCCGCCCTGGGAGGAACCCCTTTCTCCAGTCCCTGCAGGCCAGGAGGCAGGTGACCTCTGCCTCAGACCCCCACTCCAGTCACCAGACAGAGGGGCCGGCCCCCCAGAACCAAAGTTGAGGGACGCCCCGTCAAGGAGAGACCAGACCAAGGGATGCTGAGCCCAGCACGGGAAGGTCTCCAGATAGATCAGGAGGTTTTTGGAGGTGTCTGTGTCACAGTGGGGTATAGCAGCAGATCCCACAGTGACACTCACCAGGCCAGATACCCCGTCCCAAGTCAACAGAACAGTAAGAAAGCAGAGCCACGTTTAGGATCCGAGGCCGCACCTGACACCCAGGCCAGCAGAAGTCTCCCTTCCAGGTCACCCTGCCCAGTCCTGCATTTCTGCAACAACAGGGGCAGCCTGAGGGGTCCAGGGCCAGGAAATGGGTCCCCTCTACCCTGAGAAGTAGTTAGGCAGGACCCAAGCACCCTCCCCTTTGAGGTTGACCTGCCCAGAGGGGCCTGGGCCCGCACCACACACAGGGGCGGAATGTGTGCAGGCCCCGGTCTCTGTGGGTGCTCCGCTAGCTGGGGTTCCCAGTGCTCACCCCACACCTAAAACGAGCCACAGCCTCAGAGCCCCTGAAGGAGACCCCGCCCAGCAGCCCAGCCCCCACCCCAGAGGCTCCAGAGCTCAGGGAGCCTGGACGGATTCTGAACAGCCCCGAGTCACAGTGGGTATAGCTGGAACAACCACTGTGAGAAAAGCTGCGTCCAAAACTGTCTCCTGGCCACTGCCGGAGGCCCAGCCAGAGAGGGGAGCAGCCGCCCGAACCCATGTCCTGCCGGCTCCCGTGACCCCCGGCACCCGGAGCCCCACGGTGTCCCCACTGGATGGGAGGACAAGGGCCGGGGGCTCCGGCAGGTCGGGGCAGGGGCTTGATCCC